TATATTTTGACCCCCCACTTATCTTAAAGGGAAGCTCAGGTTCAGAGAGGTTAAGTGATTTGCCCAAGGTTATATAGTTAGTGAGTGGTTCAATCAGATCTGAATTTAGGTCACTCTGACTTTAAAGTCCACACTCTTAGCAGACTAGGGTCTTACTCATATAGATATTTTGTTATTTTGTTTCTGAATTGGCACAGTTGATACTGAAATTGTATTTGGTACTGAATTTTTTATATCCCTTTTATTCTTTTCTTTTGGTCATAATTGTACACACACTTGTGATTCTCTCATTATGTCCTTGGTATAAGTGGCAACTAAAGAAGGCAGCTCTGTTTGAATTACTATCATCCCTTTTTGGAGTGCTATATATTTATAGCACTCTGGTAGTGCAGTGGTTAAGGCGTTTAGCTGCTAACCAAAAGGTCAGTGGTTTGAACCCACCAGCCCACTCAGTGGAAGAAAGATAAGGCAATCTGCCTCCATAAAGATTTATAGCCTTGGTAACCCTGTCAAGGTGACTAAGAGTCGGAATCGACTCTATGGCTGTAAGTTTAGTTTTTATATATTTGTAAAGGATCCCTGGTGATGCAGTGGTTAAAGCGCTGGCTGCTAACCAAAAGATGGGAGGAGGTTTGAACCCACCAACCACTCTGTAGGAGTTTGCTTCCATAAAGATTTACAGCCTTAGAAACCCTATGGGGGAGTTCTACTCTGTCCTGTAGGATCGCTCTCAGTTGGAATTGACTCAGTGGCAATGGGTTTGCTTTGGGTTTATATAGTTGTAAAGGAGCCCTGGTGGCACAATGGTTAAGTACTCAGCTGGTAACCAAAGGGTCAAGGTTTGAACCTACCAGTCATTTTGCAGGAGAAAGTCCTGACTATTTGCTCCTATAAAGATTATTGTCTAGGAAACCCTATACAATAGTTTTACTCTGTCCTGCGGGGTCACTATGAGTCAGATTGACTCAGCGGCACACAACAACAACAACAACAACAACGTATATTTGTAGGTTTTTGTTGCCTACAAGCATAAACTCAAAGGAAAAAAATGCTTCACGTACTTATTTATGTTCTTAAATCATTCAGTTGCTTGGCCATAGACTAGGTGAACCATCATGCAACTAGTATTTTTGATATAAAAAGTAACTTTCTCCTTTTTTCTCCCCCTTTAATTCTAGGCGTAGTACGAGAAGAGTTCGAGAATTGTGGTGGCAGGGATTGCCCCCTAGTGTTCGTGGGAAAGTTTGGAGTCTAGCTGTAGGAAATGAACTAAATATCACTCCTGGTTTGTATTCTATGTTCAGTTACTCCCACACATTCAAATAGCCATCTCCAGAGTTACAAAGCAGATAGTAGATTGGCCATTTAAAAAGACGTTGCCATGTATAATGTCATTTTAAGAGCATGCTTCACTTCTCCTCCCTCTAAAACCTAGTATCATTTAGTAAGTAAGTTGTTATATTTCATGCTATATAAAAGATTTGTGGCTTTCTTTTCCTTCACAACTATGAATGATATTCTTGACATCTGAATATTTTGTTGTTGTTATCTGCTGTTGAGTTGGCCCCCAACTCATAGCAATCCCATGTTATAGTGTAGATAGCTTTAAAAACTTCTGGGGATTCTAGGTAACAGTGGATGAATAAGCATATATGAGAAAAAAAAAGTCTGGTTACTGAAAGGTTTCCCCTTTACTGCCCCCCTCAAAAAAACATAAATACTGGGAGAAAAAAAAAAAAAAA